GAGTTGGAAAACACAAGGAAATGGGTTCTGTCCCCTAACACCTTCATTTTGGCCCAGTGAGACTGACCCGAAATCTCTAACCTCCATAACTGTAAAGTAATATATTTGTATGGCTGTAAGCCAATATGATTTTTGCTATTTGTTATGATGGTTAGTTATATGTATCAACTTGGCTAGGCTCGAGTACCCAGTTATTCAATCAAACCCTAATCTGGTGTTTCTGTGAAGGTATTTTGTAGATGTGGTTAATATCTACAGCCAGTTTACAATTCTTTAAGTAAAAGTAATTAGCCTCAATAATGTAGGTAAGTTTCCTCCAATTAGTTGGAGGCCTAAAGAACACAAATTGAGGTCTCCTAGAGAAGAAATTCTGCCGTAAGCCCTCAGCATGCAACGCCTGCCTGAGTCTGCAGCCTGCTGGTCTACTCTACAGATTTCAGACTCACCAGCTCCTACAACATTGTGAACCAATTCCTCAAAACACATAAATATATATAGAATCTCTTATTAATTCTGTTTCCCTGGATAACCATAACCACAACATTTGCTATAATCGCAATAGGAAATGAATACAGGTAGCCAACAAGGGTATTGCTTGATCTATGTAACCAGAAAGACCAAAAGTAGGTAGGCCAAAAATTGATGTCAGTCATCAAAATAAAAATTTACTAGTATTTTTCTAGTTTCTACCCCTGGGCAAGCTTAAGTCAATCATTAGAAAGGAATACTAGGTCCCTCTAAAGATTCTTTCCAACCTTTTGCAAACAGACCTAAACTAGTTTTACCTGGGAAATATAATATACCTGGAAAATAAAATTACATAGACTATTAAAGTTTTTGTTGGAAAAAGGATGTGCTGACCCTATATCAAGAAAACCAAAATGTCATCATAGATCTTTGTTACGGTAGAAGCATTTGAAGACCAGGTGGATAAACAGAATCCTTCCCAAGTTCATCTGATAGAGGTCCAATGGGTGCCAAGACTGTGGTCATTTCTCCAGTCTCCAAGTGCATAAATTAGATGGATATGCTTAGCAGCTGTCAGAAAATGCACATTTTCTCCCTAACCCTTGGATTAAAATCCATAGTGGCAGAAGAAGCCAAGCGAAAGCCTCTGAAAGTGTGCCCCCCTCCAAGATAGTAAAACAGAACAGTGTTGCCCTGGCCGGTTTGGCTCAGCGGTTAGAGAGTTGGCCTGCAGTCCGGAGAGACCCAGGTTCGGTTCCCGCTAAGGGCACGTACTTCGGTTGCAGTTTGTCCCCGGTCCTGGTTGGTCGTGCGGGTGGCAGCCACTCGATGTGTCCCTTCACGTCGATGTTTCTCTCTCTCTCTCCCTTCCTCTCTCTCTCCCTCCCACTCTATCTGTACAAAAAAAAATGGAAAATATCCTCGGGTGAGGATTAAAAAAATAAAAATAAATAAATAAATAAATAAAACAGAACAGTGTTGCACATTGGCCAGAACTACAGAGATTTAGTGTCCCTCTTTAAGCTGTGCACCACTGGATGTCAAAGGAGTGTCTCTATCACATCCCTATTTAATTTTCTGGTCTGAGGCCTGCAAAAATCGGATAGATCATGGAAGATAACTGCAGACTACTGTGAACCATAACCAAGTGGTAGCCCCAATCGATCTCAATTGTGGGGCCACAGTTGCACTCATTGTGCAACTATTGATCTGGTGAATCTACCAGGAAGGATGATTAGAAGCAGTTCAGATTCACTTGCATGAAAAACAGTACATTCACAATCATGACCTGGGATCATGTGAACATTCTTGTTCATCTGGACTTTCTGTAGAACATCATAGTGGTCCATTCTACTGATGACATCATTTTAATTGGATCTGGGAAGCAGAAAGTGGCTTTATAAGGAATATCCCATGAGGCAGATGTGGCCAGGGTGTGGGAGATTAACCCTACAAAGATCCAGGATCCTGTCAAATTGGTGATGTGTTTAGGATTCAGAAGTTTGTGACATGCTAAAACAACCCTAAAGAAATGGCCAAGTTATTTACTCCTTGTACCTTTTAGCACTGAGAAAAGCATTATGCCTGGCAGTACTCTTTGGATTTTGAGAAGCATATGCCACGTTCTGGAATATAGCTCTGACTTAATTATCAGTTGACTGAGACAGCAACTAATTTTGAGTGAGGCTTTGTAGCAGATTTAAGCTATGGAACAAGCATCCTTGTCCCTTAGATCTATGACTCAGCCAATCCCATGGTGCTAGAGGTATTTGTGGAGCATAAGGCTGCCAGTTAGAGTCTTTTGCAAGCCCCAGTAGAAGAATCACAGCACTACTTCCAAGAGCTTGGAGCAAGGCTATGCCATCTACAACAGAACTAGTCACCACTCCAGAAGTAGATTATGGCGTGTCACTGGGCCTTAGAGGAGACTCCACTCATAACCAAGGGATATTAAGTGACCACACAACTGGAGCTACTCACCCTGATCTGGATATCACATCAAGTCATAAGTTGGGGGGAGGTGCAAAATAGCAATCCTTCGTATTGTGGAAATGGTACATTCTGGATCCTCCAACCCAAGCAGGTCCAAGAAAGCATAAGTTACTTGACCAGGTGTCCCTGACCCTTACAGTTCTTGGTGATATCAGTGCTTCCCTTTTGTGAGTAACTAACGAAAAAGGAAAAAGTGAGGTCTGGTTCATAGATAGGGTGACTGGATATGCTTGGGAGTTGAAGAATTCTCACTGCTTAGGAGAATTCATCATGACTTGGAAATTTTTATTTTAAATAACCCCTAAGAGAATGTATTTCATGTTAATATTCCATTTTTGGCACCCATGGAGAAATTCTTTGAGTTTTTGTGAATGGGATAGTCATTAAAACCTGAGAATTCACCCTGGCCAGTTTGGCTCAGCGGTTAGAGCGTCGGCCTGCAGTCCAGAGAGACCGGGGTTTGGTTCCTGCTAAGGGCACATACCTTGGTTGCAATTTGTCCCCTGCCCTGGTTGGGTCGTGTGGTTGGCAACCACTCCTTTCACATCGATGTTTCTCTCTCTCTCTCTCTCCCTCCCTCCCACTCTATCTGAACAAAGTAATGAAAAAATGTCTTCGGGTGAGGATTAAAAAAAAAAAGTATAGACGGGTACAAGATAGTATGGAGTAACAATTTTCAACAATTTTCAACCTTTTTCAGCTCATGGCACACGTAAACTAATTACTAAAATTCTGTGGCACACACAAAAAAATTTTTTGTCCTTCTGACACAAAAGATAGGTATAATTTTTATTCATCTACACTGTACAGCTATTGTGTTGGCTATTATCATTTTTTTATTTGACAATCTAAGGGAAAAGAGGTTAGTTAGTGCCCCTGATTAAATAGCCAGGTATTGCATGTTTTAAAAATTCTTGTGGCACACTGGTTGAAAATCGCTGTTATAGAATACATCGGTAGGATGTACTATAGAATATAAATATGAATACATATATATAATCCAATCCAGTCTCAGAGATTCTTTTGTCCAAGGAGTTCTAAATGGCAGGTTAGATCAAGTCGCTGCGAATACCAGGGAGAACTTGCTGTCGATTCTGGGCACAAGGGTTTCTTGTACCACAGAGCTCTCTCTCTGCTGGCTTTTCTCTTCACCATCTTCTCTGGAGGAAGAGACTGCTATCCGGACCACAGACGCGGTTAAAGTACTGAGCTGAACGAGCAGCAGCAGGTTGGATACTCACTATTGGGCCCCAGGATCCATAGCAAGCGCCCCGAAATGAGGCGGTGTTGGGCGCAAGCTGGGGCGTGCCCAAGGCTGGGGCGTTTCTGATTGGCTTTTTGCAGTGACTGCAAGAGACCGGGCGACTGGGACGAGACTGAGGTGCTCACCTGGGAGCATGGTTGCAGCTTGGCCCCGGACCTCCTGGGCTTTTAGAGATCTGCCCCTGGGGAAGGGAAGAGAAGGGCAATCGTGAGGGAAAGCACAACCCAACCAAATGTAGTAGGGTGGAGAGGGTGAGGCTGTGGTTTCTGGGCGTTGCCAGAGAAGCCACACGCCGTATTTAACCCAGGGCTCCTGAAACAGAGGTAGGTAAACTCCGAGATTCTGTATCTTAAAAGCGCCTTTCATTCTCCTTTGGGTCCTTCTGGCTCTGCATTTAGTATGGAGTCCTACCGTGGGCATGGACCCAGTAAAATAGCCCGGCCCTAAAACTACTCAGAAGAGACTTTTCTGCAGATAATCATACTAGTTGGCCGCAGGGTGCTGGGAAAGGGGGACAGAGGGTTGAGGCATCTGCACTTTGGTACATTCTATAGCTGTGCCACGGTTTTACTTTCCATTAAGAAAAAGATTATATGAAGTGGAACAAAAGCGAGAGATGACATTGAAAGACAGTTTCATTTTTAACTTTTTATATTATCTGTATCATTTAGCAATTATACATCTACATACCTATGAAATATTTACATGCATGTAGTACATGTATACGTGTATATTACACATGAGAGATTTAAATTGTCTGGGCGCAAAAAGTGGGAACAGCGATCCCAGCATGTTGGCTGCAAAGGGCAGGAGCGCTTCTCTTGGCCGCGAGTCCTCCGGGACCCAGGTGCGTCCATCCAGGCCTGGAGCCCTCCGCCGGCTCGCGGCCGCGCACGTCTAACTAGAGTCGTCTCCGACTGCAACCGAGAGTCCGCTCCGCGTGGGCCCACGCACCCCTGCCGCAGGCGTGGCGACACAACCCCGGAGTCGAATTACAACCCGCAATTAACATATGAATCTAACGAACTTGAAAACGGGGGGGGGGGGGGGGGGGGGGGGAGATACTTAGAGCTGGCGCCTGAGTCCCTAGTACGCAGCAACTTTTCGCCGGGTGTAAAAACTCTTTGATTGGCTGCTCGCACGCGCCTGCCCGCGCCCTCCATTGGCTGAGCAGACACGCGACTGGCGCGAGGAGGGGGCTGGGAGAGGAGCGGGGGGAGCCGCACTGGCGCGTGCCGCTTTTTAAAGGGGCGCAGCGCCTACAGCAACCGGAGAAGCTTCGTTGCACGCGACCTGGTGTGTGATCTCCGAGTGGGTGGGGGAGGGTCGAGGAGGAAAAAAAATAAGACATTGCAGTAGAGACCCGGGAAGGGTTTTTTTTTGTTGGGCTGGTTTGCCAGTGCCTCCTCCGACCCGGCGCCTCCGAGCCTCTGCAGTGCAATGTCCCGCCTGCTGCACGTAGAAGAGTGGGCTGAAGTGAAGGAGTTAGGGGCCCACCATCGTCATCCACAGCCGCACCACCTCCCGCAGCCGCCACAGCCACCTGCGACCCTGCAGACGAGAGAGCATCCCGTCTACCCAGCCGAGCTGTCCCTCCTGGACAGCACCGACCCACGCGCCTGGCTGGCTCCCACCTTGCAGGGCATCTGCACGGCACGCGCCGCCCAGTACTTGCTGCATTCCCCCGAGCTGGGTGCCTCCGAGGCCGCGGCGCCCCGGGAGGACGTGGACAGCCGGGGAGAGCTGGTGAGGAGAAGCGGCGGCGGCGGCAGCAATAGCAAGAGCCCCGGCCCGGTCAAAGTGCGGGAACAGCTGTGCAAGCTGAAAGGCGGGGTGGTGGTAGATGAGCTGGGCTGCAGCCGCCAGCGCGCCCCTTCCAGCAAACAGGTGAATGGGGTCCAGAAGCAAAGGCGGCTGGCGGCCAACGCCAGGGAGCGACGCAGGATGCACGGCCTGAACCACGCCTTCGACCAGCTGCGCAACGTTATCCCGTCTTTCAACAACGACAAGAAGCTGTCCAAGTACGAGACCCTGCAGATGGCCCAGATCTACATCAACGCCTTGTCCGAGCTGCTACAAACGCCCGGCAGCGGGGAGCAGCCGCCGCCGCCGCCGCCGTCTTGCAAGAGCGAGCACCACCACCTTCGCGCCGCCGCCTCCTATGAAGGCGGTGCCGGCACCGCGGCAGCAGCAGGGGCACAGCCGGCCTCCGGAGCGGGCCAGCGGCCGACCCAACCCGGAAGTTGCCGGACTCGCTTTTCGGCCCCGGCCGCCGCGGGAGGATACTCCGTGCAGCTGGACGCTTTGCACTTCTCAGCTTTCGAGGACAGCGCCCTGACGGCGATGATGGCGCAAAAGAACCTGTCGCCTTCGCTGTCCGGGGGCATCCTGCAGCCAGTGCAGGAGGAAAGTAGCAAAACTTCGCCCCGGTCTCACAGAAGCGATGGGGAGTTTTCCCCCCATTCCCATTACAGTGACTCGGATGAGGCAAGTTAGGAAGGTGACAAACCCTGAAAACAGACAGAAACAAAATCTCCCTTTTCCAGTGCGCGGGAAGCCCCGCAAGCGGTTCAAGATCCCCATACCCTTTTCATGTTTGCTTGCCTGCGGTCGTTGTTTTTGTAACGACTTGGCTTCAAATGGCAGCTACATTTGATGGTTTGCAAAAGCCGCCGCTATTCCAAACTTCCTATTGTCCAATATTGTTTGATGGAAACTTGTGTTCTTCCCTCCCACCTTCTGCTCCCCCTATAGATAGGTAAGGTATAATTAAGTATATGTACCCATATATGGCATCATTATTCTAGTTCCCTGCTGCCAATATGCTGCTAAAACATGGCATCTTCTCTATCGCTGGTTTGTGTTTAATTTATTCTATGCCCTGGGCATCCATTCCTGTGTGTTGTGCGCACTCACGTGTGGGAGAGTTGGTATTCCCAAATTGTTTCCCAAAATGCATTATTAAACTCAAAGTTAAGACATCCACCGTGAATAACTTTTGACTATGGAATTGTTTGAAAACAGGGAACTTTGAAGTTTATATATTGTATAAACATACCCAGTATGTATATCGGATGGCGAGAAAGTTGGCGTCTTTTAGGAAACTTGGCGCACGCACTTTATCAGCCGCTGCTGCTACCGGCTCCGGGACAAACTCAACTGCCAATTGCAGACCAGTTTTGTTTTGTTTTTTTAAAACACGGCCACTTATAACCCTTAAGCTCTTTGCAAATGTTTGTTTTAAAAAATTAAAATTTAAAAAAACATATCCAGTAGTGTCAAAAGCATTTGGTCAATTTTATTTTTGCTTTGTTAATGTTAGAAAACTTATTTATTATCGAGTGTTTGCTACCATTTCTACTTATCTTGATTTTTTTACGTTTTCTACTTGAGATCATTTTATTTTAAGTTAGCAAAGCCATTGCCATTGTTTTATGTATTTCCTTTTGAAAATGATAAAAATAAACTTGAAAATAACTTTTATTTGTCACTTATTCCATTCTAATATAAGCATTGAAAACGGTGTACAAATAACCTTGAAGACTTTAACGGTCTTCCATTAAATGTGAATATATGCGATCTAAGAGTTTTGAAGAAAATTCCGTTATAAACCTTGTATCTTCAAATAGAACCAGAAACCCTGAGGTCAGAAAAACGATCGCCAGATCAAATTGTGAGACAAAACCCCCGAATTTGCAACAGTTTTGCTTCTTGGATAGTCAGGATCTTTCCAGTGTTCCTCACTCCTAACCCCACAACCTCTGCAAGGGAAGACACGTGTCTTGGGTCTCCTAGGACTTCCCAGGAGTAGTGAACTTTAACTAGGGTTACCTATTTCCACTCACTAAAAACCTCAGCCAAGCAGAAAGCTTTTCTTAAGGTCAAATTCACAGTACAAGCCCATTCTCTCTCCCATCTTCTCTCCCTTCCTTACTACTTCCCTCTTTCTGGGGAGGGGTGGGTTTGAAGGCAAAGAGAAAAAGAACAATGGAAACGAACTTGAGGGAAAGGGGTTGAGATTAATTGATTCAAAAATTAGAAACATGCAGTTGTCCTACGAGATTGTTGACCTCCATTCATTTTTTTCTTTACAATCGATTCTGTTTCTGCCAATGTCGCTGATGTTTGCTTTTATTTTTTCCTTCTGAATTGGTTCTTATGTAGAAATCATTTAACTACATTTTTAGCCAGTTGCAGAAACTAAACAGTGCACTACCTCTCTCACCTTAGGGTTCTCACTAAGTAATAGCCTATTCTGGGTCTCAGGATCATAATTTTGAAAAAGCTAATACAATGTGGACAGAGTAGAAAGCGGAATTTTAAAAATGTATTTGGCAAATGTGGAAGTAGAACTATTTATTAAACTGAAGATGGGCGACTTTCCACTGGATAAACTGATTTTGGGAGGTTGATCTTAAACCAAATATTTTATATTTTGTATCTTCATTGATATAACAAATTGCGACAGCAAGGAAGCGGGACAGAAAGTGAGAGGCGGTTATTTTAATTGCTCCTTCATCCCCCTTTCTCTGCAGCGTCTTGAAAAGAGGAGAGCCCCATAAACTGGGTGCAGAAAAAGTAATGCTCCGGGGAGCGAAGTTCTGGTCTAGGGTAAAGAACTGCGGAATCCGCTTCTGACTACCTGGGTAGACATGGCTTTCAGCTAGCTGATGCGTAAGGTCCAGGGAAGCCATAGAAAGCCTCCGCCAGCTCTCTGGGAGAGGTGAGCAGCGGCTGGAGACACTTTCCAGGGGCAGAAACAATGCACCTATTCCTTAGATAACCTTTTGCACCCACTGAGTTTGCTGTGCTCAAGATAAACATCAGGAATCTCCTGGCTACTGAATAAATCAAGCGATTGCTTCTAACACATTTCCACTCAGCTCTCAATAAGCAGACTCAACAGGCATGGACATACAGCAACCTTGTAGGATGAGCGCACACATATTTTTATAGTCATTTGGCTTGGTGTGTATGTGTGCATGTGTGTAAGGAGAGAGAAGAGGATGGAAAATGCTTTTACCTGTTATGAATCTGAGTAGGGGAAAGACAGGACTAAGAAAACGTTTTGATTTTTTTCTCAAAGAAAACTATACTTCATTTTCAAAAACCTTTATTCTCATTTTGTGTTAACCAAAGGAAAAATACTCTTCCAAAGTTATTACTGTTCTTTTCTTGGACTTAGACAAATTTTAAAACAGAAATGACATCAAGAACACCTTTCCCATCTTTTTATAAATGCCCCTGCCCCTGACTTCACCCAAATTACACAGATACGAATTGTAAATATCTAGAACCGGATCTTACTACTCCCATCCACGAGGTCAATGCACCCACAAATTTTTCTCTAAGAAAATCTGTGGATAGGAGCTAACAACACTATGCAAATGTCCAGAGGGTTTTTTCTTCTTGTACCACAATAACAGCCAGATATTTAAATGTTAGTTGTATTATACACAAGTTGGAGGTAACACCAACTTCATTTAAGGAAGTCACTTGACATTTCTTCTCATGAGAAAAACTAAATATGGATTGGAAATTCTGTATCACACTGACTGAAAGTGCAGATGAGTTGTTTTAACCCATCAAGACATGCACAAAAAGCCAAATCCCTTTGTGGCAAATGAAGTGTTCAAAGTTCAAATGAGGACTTTAACCTCATTTCTTTCCTTCATTCTAATTCTTTCTTCTTATGCTGGCATTTCTTTGAAAGAGATGTACAATCACATTTCCATTTTAAGGTCTGCTGTGGAGTTTGCATAACAAACGTTTGGCACTTCGCTCTCTTACACTCCATTAACAAGCTGTAACATATAGCTGCAGGTTGCTATAATCTCATTAATATTTTGGAAACTTGAATATTGAGTATTTCTGAGCACTCATTCCCCATATGCCAGACCACTCCTGCCATGCTGACTGGTTCCTTTCTCTCCATTATTAGCAATTAGCTTCTACCTTCCAAAGTCAGATCCAAGTATCCAAGATACTAGCAAAGGAATCAACTATGTGTGCAAGTTAAGCATGCTTAATATCACCCAAACAAACAAAGAGGCAGCATTTCTTAAAGTAATGAAGATAGATAAATCGGGTTAGTCTTTGGTGACACGGCTGGTGCTTTCTAAAGTTTTTCATACTTTAAGCAACTTGCTTTATATTCTGCCGTTGCCTTCTAACCCACCATCACATTTATTTGTGGATGGTTTTGACTCACCACACTTTAAGAAATTTATTTGATTTCACAGAAAGCTGAAGGGAGATTATTTTTGGCAACTGACAAGTTTAAGCACGTTCTGTTTGGAACATTGCTAACTGGGGGGTCTTGACCAGAAAAAGAGGGGGAGTTAATTTCCTTACTCTTAACCAAGGCAGGGCCAATGCCTTCATTAGGCATATTGATTTTAGAGATCTAAACCTGAACCAATAGCCGTCTTTTATCAAAGAACATCTTGTAATTATTTTTCTTCTTTGTTCATTTGAAAGTTCAAGAAAGAGATGATCAACCTCGTCTCGGCTGTTCCAAACCGAAGTTAGAATTGGAAACAAAAGTGCAGACCCCACTTGTCAATTGCAACCTAGACTTGTGCATTGCAACCTGGAAAAACAAGCAAGTACGTACTGGTGAGAGTTTACAAATGACCTCTTGTAATTGAATTACTTGCAGTTGGTTTTGTGAGAAGGGAAGATTGGGGGTGGAGGCTGGATATATATAACAAAGGTGTAAGTTTTCCTCGCTGTTCTTCACTCCTTCGGCTAGCCACCCTCATCCTAGGCGGCCCAGAGTCCCAAATGCCAGCCACCGAGGTCCCTCCTCTTGTACTAGGCCCCTAACAAGAAAAGGCGAACGAAGGAGAATGGGTTAAATTCTGGGACGCAGAGGAGGAGAGAAGTCGGGGGAAGATAAAGAAAAGGACAGGAACCAAGAAGCGTGGGGGTGGTTTGCCGTAATGTGAGTGTTTCTTAATTAGAGACCGGCTGACAATAGAGGGGCTGGCAGAGGCTCCTGGCCGCGGTGCGGAGCGTCTGGAGCGGAGCACGCGCTGTCAGCTGGTGAGCGCACTCTCCTTTCAGGCAGCTCCCCGGGGAGCTGCGCGGCCACATTTAACACCACCATCACCCCTCCCGGCCTCCTCCACGTCGGCCTCCTCCTAGTCGACAGCCTTCCTTGGCCCCCCACCGGCAGAACTCACAGAAGCGAGCATCTCTCGCTGCCTCCCGTGCCCGGCCTGGGCCCCTCTCCTCCCCCAGCTTCGCAGCGGGAGCCGCCACTGCCCACTGCACCTCCCAGCAACCAGCCCGGCAAGAAAAGAAGCTGCGCAAAGTTAAAGCCAAGCAATGCCAAGGGGAGGGGAAGCTGGAGGAGGCGGCGGCGGGAGAGCTGCGGGGTTGTCCAGGAAAAGTTAGGCTGGGGCTGAGGCACCTGAAGCAGTGAACCGAGACCAGTAAGCATGAGCATCCTCCCTCCCTCGAAAGGGGCCTTGCAAATGCCCTGCTCTCCGACCTGCGAGACTGCCCGCCCACAGCTTGTAGTGAAAGATCCATTCACCTTTTCTAGTCGAAGATACAGTTCTTCAGTCCCTCCCCTCTCCGAAAATCTTCTATATTCTTTAGATAGTTGGATGCTGTTGCAGTTCTGAGAATTTAAACGTTAATTGGACAGTGCACCGGCTTTGTCTCCCACAATCTAGAGCTGGGGCATAGGTATATGACTTTTTTTACCCTATTCAGCTCTTTAAATAAAGAAGAGCAAAAGTAAGCATTTTGGTAGAAAGATTTGGGGCTTCTTTGCATCCCTGTGTTCCTCTTCCTATTTCGGTCCTGCTTTCTCTGGCCCCCAAATAAACAAGGAAATAAAACAGGTTTTTGTTGCCTAATCTGCAGTGAGGCCAGGCCCATGCTACAAGTTCATGCTTTTCCCCAGAGAAACCAGAAGTTTCCTCCATAGAGATGAAAAATGAGATGCTCTCCAATATAAGTACTGCTTTTTAGCAATTCTGATTAAAGAGTTAAGAGATCAGATCAAAAGAAATGGTGTTCTGGTGGCCAGCTGGTTCCCCAGGCCTTGCTGCTGTCAGAATGATGAAGGAAGGTGTGTGAGCTAGGATCTGAGGTGGCTGTCTTGGGATTTCTCAAGCCAACAGATAGGTTGATCTGTTGGGCCACTGACCACTTACTTGTCTCTTCTAGAGACAGTTCACAATCCTTCCTACATTCTGGCTCCTACAAACTCTTGGTGCTGAGATGTTGGTGGGAGAAGGGTTAGGATTGGGAAGGATCCTCAACCTTGAGGCAGGAGTGAACTAGCAGTTGAGGATGGAGTAGGCATCATGTGTAACTTAACCTTAAAGGCCACAAAACTAGGAGAGATCTGAAGACACAGAGCCACCAGGTGTCCAGGAAGGTAGAAAGTCAGTTCTTTTAATTTTCAATAACTTGTATCTGTTTCAGGAAATAACCTAGCAGACATGTAC